GCACTGTTCTCCCTCATGTCTATGCAAGCCCAGTGGGCCTTTCCAGCATATTGAGTTGGGTCTATCCATCAGGTCCTGCCACATTACCTCATTGCTCCATGTGAACCATGGGACATTTAAAAGAGGCTTTGCCCATTTTGAGCCTTACTTATCTTGCTCCTACTGTAGTCTATAGAAATTTTGTTTTATACTTAAGCAAGAGGAAAAACTCTAATCAGGGTTAGGTTCACAGACTTTATGCCATCTAATCACAAAGCATATAATTCACCTTCATTATTGAAATATCTAAGAGTGAAATGGACTGAACATTACTAAATTATGTGTTTGTTACTAAGAATTGTTATAGTGAGGTTTAGAACTTGAAGTCAATGAGCTCAGTCTGAATGGTAAAAGAAAGGGTGTGGCAGAGCATCTTTGATGCCTGTCACTTTAAGGGCCAGACAGGCAGCAGGGTAGCTGGCAGGTGCGGGTCATCCCTGATGAGGTGGTCACAGGACCACAGAAGGCCCTTGTGATAGGAGAAGGAGGATGAGCAGCCTCTATTTTAAACCCAGGCCCTCAGGGCTGAGCTAGAAGTTTGCTGTAAGCAGCCAGAGAAAACACTGCCTGCCTGGAGCTGCTGTTCATGGAACATCTTGGAGGTATAGGGAGGAACTATGGGGATGGAGGAGGCTCCTGGTCCTGGGGAATGATGAAAAACTACACCCTGCTAGGGATGGATGATGTGGTGGGTCTGCCCATGGCAGGGTGGTTCCCAGGAAATGCCATGCTGTGTCCCAGGTGCCACCCTAGTGAAAGGTGAGTAAGGGGCATCATATAGTCCCAGCCCCCACAACCTGGTGGGGAACTCAGAGTAAGGACAGGCAGTAGGGCCAGGCATACCTATAGAAACCAGAGCCCATTGGGTATAAGACCCTAGGACCCCAGTGCAGGGGGTCCAAAGAGTGGCCCCAGGTAGGGGGCAGAGGAGTCAACTGAAGTGAGGCCACACAGAGTAGGGTTGCAGGGGTGACCTGAAGGGCTGCACAGAGGCACATAGAGTAGGGGCCACCTGAAGGACTGTGTATAGGCCAGCCCCATGAGTAGTTAGTGAGTGAGTCCCAATGAGGGGGCAGAGGTGTTGAGACCCCAGTAAGCCCTCAGATCTTTTGAGGCTGAGTTTTTGGGTCAGAGGATAAAGTACTTTGGATGCTATCTGCAAGACATAGGACACGGTATAGGGAAGGTTGGAGCTGTGTATAATGTCCTAGGCATCAGGGCACTTAAATGGGCAGCCTCCTGTATTTTACAACAGTTTTAGAACAGCAAGACTTGGAAGGTGAATGAGGGCAGACTACTGTAGACAGAGAAATGGGCTGGTACAATGACTGGCCACGTGTCAGCTCCTTGTCACAAAGGGCAAGAATAAACAAGAATATGCTGACCTTCTCCAAATGGTCTAATAAGCATACTTTCATACCGAACAATAAGACAAAGTGTCCTTATCTATTACAAGGCCATGGCAGAAGATGAAGAAAAGAGAATTAGAGAATTAGCTGAATGCAGTGGAACTGAAGACAGCTCACATAGATGAGGTCATCATAAACTGTGGCACTCTAATCTGCTTCTCTGTCTCATTTTCATTAAACATGCAGTTGTGTACTGTAAAGGAGGTGTCTTAAGTAGGAGAGTCACTTTCAAAAGAAAGGGTGATCTAGAGCTTAAAGCATTCACTCAGATTCACTCAGACTCAAGCTTGTGCTCTGCCACATGCTTCCAAAGTGACCATGGGTAAGTTATATGAGTAGGGATTTACTGAAATCAAGGAGGCAGAAGGCTGATTTTCCAGGCTGATCATGGAGCCAGCCACCCTTTTCGCAGGCTTATCACAGTCGCCCCCCCACACCTCTCATTGGCCTGCCTGACAAGTGGCCCCATTCCTCACCACTGATTGGCTGAAAGGGATGTCCATCATGCAACTGGCCTAGAGAGCTGCCTGTCATGCAGCCCCACTCCTCATCATTGATTGGTGGAGAGGGGCAGAGCTGCACAATGGGCATCTCTTTCAGCCAATCAGCAGCAAGGGGCAATAGCAGGGGGTGGCCTCTTCTTAGCTGCCATCTTCTTAGCTGCTCCCCTTTGTGCTGGTGGATCCCTCCCTCTGCTCTGGTGGGCTGTGAGGCTTTATTTTTAGTACTTTTTTTTGATCTAGCAGACTTTGCAGACAATGTCCAATTTTGTGGTTTCCACAAAATCTGCAAAATCACAAATTGAGTAGGTACCAATACCTAAGTCACACATGGTGCTCAGGAAAACTCCAGGTAGGAGGGAAAAAAAAGTTGAGACTATGTGATAACTCCTGAAAATGATATAAATCTGCCCTAACTGGGGAAATTTTACCTTAATACCCATCCAGAGCAATTTCCTTCTGGGGACAAAGTGATTTCTCCCCTTGGTAGCTTATTCCTTCTATGGACTTTGCTTATATTGCTTCTGCCTCAAGGTTCCATGTCTTGGGGCAACTCTTTTCATGCACCAAATCCTTGGTTTCTCTATGCCTTAATTCCCCCTGTGGAAAATGGGAATAACAGTGCTTCCTTACTACACAAAGTTGGGATACAATCAAAGCTGTGAAGCACTTGGATATGAGCAGAAGGAGCTAGATAAGTAAACAGACCATGGTTCAGTACTACTCTAGTTGTTAATGCTGCCAAAATCATACTACTGGTGAGGCTAGGAAAAAAGAATGAATAAAACAAAGAAAAGAGGTGACATTTGCAATGATGCTATAGTCCCTTCCCTCTTTTTTAAGCATTTATTAACAGGGTTAGATGACACGCTTTGCTTCAATAGTGTGGGAAACAGACTGAAGAGATCCTTTTCTGTACCAAATCCTATCTTTCTATTTTCTTGTATTTTGAAGAAAAACTTTACAGCTACTCAGGTCAGTGCTTGCAAAATTTGCTTAAAAGTGATCTTACTTTGTGCCAATGAGTATACACACAAGACTGAACTCAAGTGCACAGGCTGTCACGTTTAGTCCTTAGTATCTAGCTTCACAAAGAAGGATGAATTTGTGACGTAAGGATTGTATGTGCTTATGTTTATTTATAATACCATACACTCAGAAGCCATAAGCTGGAACACTCTTGAGTAGAGGGATACATTTTTATAATGCCTGTTTCTTCATTAAGATTTCATCATCCACCTACACTAAAAAGCCACTTCCCCTTTACTTTGTTATATTGGCTTTTACCCACTCCTCTTCCTACATTATTTTTTTAATCTCCAGTTCCCTATTTTACATGCACTCTCAAATTTTAAACAAGCAAAATTTGTGCATTAGTGTGTCCTTTTCATCTATGATTTATGAATGACAGGTTCCTCAGTGCAGCTTAATGGTACGAGAAAGACATTATTTAAAACATTAAAGTGAAAACCATTTACAACTATGATAAGAAAGGTCTGTTGACATTAAACTTTAAAACATGCACAAGGTAAAGGCATGTAGCTGCACCAACAGGTGAGAGCACCATGCTCGCAGTTTGTAAGGGAGTTTGTTCAATGCATTAACCGTCTCTCCTTTTCTCTCTTTCACAACCTGTAGACTTTGGCACTTCAAACAATCCATCAAGTCATCAGCAACAATGGGAGTTTAATCACCTAAAAAGTGCGCAGAGTGCTGTGTACAGCATTCACTTAGTAGAACTCCTATTTTGTCTGTGGAAAACTTTTCCCAGAGTTTATGTCAGCAAAAAAAAAAGAAAAAAGAAAAATTGAAAGGTCTAAATCTGTATTTGATCCTTCCCGCTCCCACCCTCCATCTCTTTCATAAAGGAGGCACTTTTTTTCCTAATCCTGTCAAGACACTCTTACAGTTTCATTGTGGGTTTTTTGTTAACATTTTATCTGTTGTCCGTTGTGCAACTCACCTCATGAACAACCTCTGTCAAAGAAACAACGAACACAATTGAATAATAGGTAAATACACCTTTATGCTTAACATTAGAGATGTTGTACTGTAGCATTTTATTGACAGCAATACTCACTGATTGGACAAGAACATTACGAAATTACAGTTACATGCTATTCTGGCTGTACTGGGTTCTCAGTCTAACATTACAGTGCAAGCAAAATGAGGCAGAGATGCAGGTCTGGTCCTTCTGCTACAGCTAAGGAGTGCACACAGTGCTCAGAACACACTAGTCAGATGCATACTTAAACTGGACCGGGCCAGTTGTGTGCCTCATTGAACCACTGGTGTCTAGTCTAAATGAGGCTAGCCATCAGCTGCCCAAAGGTGCTGAAAAGGTAGTCAGATTTGGTGTAGATTTGGATGCACTTTATTCCATTTCATTGCAATCTTGATTATTTTACAAAGAAACCATGGAAGGTGGTAACTAATTAGAAGACAGACTCCTCATACTACTGCTAATTTGTCTGGCTGGCTCCAACAGGGTATGTTAATTGGGATGCACACAGCTCTGATGTACAATGCCAGAAAGTACTATCAGTTACATGGTAGATACAATTATGGTAATGTAATGCAGAGCCCAATAGCAATTGCATACGGGAACTGTATTTTTATACTAAGAATATTAAATGCATTTTTGTCTTAAAATGATTTCATCCTGATCTTTAGTATCTATTTGCACTGGTTCACTCATTGCACTCTAATCCCCCAGCAAAGAATTAGCAGTGGTTGAACAGATTACTTGAATTCATAATGCCACTTCCAAATTTCAGAATCAACAGTGGGAAAAAAAGACATCAACCAACAATGACAGAACAATCAATTTGCTACTTCCAAAGTACTGGCCTATGGACTCAGACAGAATATTTATATCAAATATTGCTGAAACTTCCTCTGTGAAAACACAGTAAGTATTCAGTATGCTTTCCGTATATCTGCAATATTCAAAATAATCAAGTTATTGACTTTTCAATAGGATTTGCCATCCAGAGTAGCATTTTCATTGACAAAATGGATCTACCTGTAAAAATGTATTGATATGGTTTACCTTGTAGATTTTGCAATGGCAAAGTCATAATGCCTCCTGCTGCAGCTGCTGCTACCAGCCCTTGGATGTTGGTGAGATTAGCTGTAGGCAGAGTTAGGACCAGTCCTTGCTGACCACCCAGTTGTCCAGCCATGTTGAAAGGAATAAGGATAGGCTGATTTAGGGCTGGAGTGCCTCCTGGCATCACCCCTGCTACCGCCGAGGCTAACTGTTGTGCTGTCAGTAATGGCTGTAATGAAACATATACAGTGAGTATATTTTACTGTACACCTGAAAAAAGGAAGAGCATGGCTAAAAGTGTACCACAATGTGCCCAAGACCATTGGTACTGTTACAGTACATACATACAATCACAATGCACTGCTTCTGTAACATAATAGAGCACACATTTCCACTAACAAGAAAAGAGCCTTGAGGATCCTGAAAATTGAGGCCAAAAACCCTGAAAAATCATATCAAATGCTATGATTCCTGAAATCCAAGTGTGGCTTAAGTCAAATTACCCCAAAAAGAATATACTACCTATGCTCCAAAGTTGGTTAATAAATTCAAGAAAGCCAAATTCAACCCAACCTGCAAATATTTAAACCCAGTTTTCCCAACTCCATCCTGCTAAAAACTAGACACAACATTAACAATTGCCGGGAGCTATGCAATCCATGGGATGCTCACAGACTGCCTTGTAAAGTGGGTTAGAACATTACGTATCTGCTTGGCTTCCTGGAGTAGTTGGCTGAACTTGAAAAATCACTGTACAAAATGACATGGAAAAAATCAAACATTTTATTGCTTTGTTCAGAACCACACTATTGTGCACACATACCTTATCGTAAAAATAAAAATAAAAATTGGGCTTTAAAACAAAAATGAATGGATTTCTTTATTAATGCACAAGCTGTATGTGATGCACAGGATTGTCAAACCCAATAAGCTAAGCTTGCATTAAAATTACATTAACTTGTTTTTATATTAAATCATGACCTGGGTTTCAAAAGTAACTGATGTAAGGTTCAAATAACTTAATTTTATAAACACACAAACTATTTACATTTTACTCCCTGGACAAAAAAAAAAAAAATGTTTTTTTTTGTTTTTTTTTTTTGTTTGTTAAAAAAAAAAAGGCTTTTTTTGTTTTTTTTTTTTGTTTGTTAAAAAAAAAAAGGCTTTTTTTGTTTTTTTTTTTTGTTTGTTAAAAAAAAAAAGGCTTTTTTTGTTTTTTTTTTTTGTTTGTTAAAAAAAAAAAAAAAATACCAAACAAAAAACACATAGAAGCATTTTTTTCTTTAAGTAACACCACATATAGTACATGTTTATAAAATATAAGTGGCATGCACATGTTTCTCTGCACATAGCCGTATATTAATACAGCCATGATCTTTCACCTTATTTTTAACATGATACTGTTAGGTGCTTTTTGAGCTGTTGTTAATTACTTTAATCAAGCTGCATTCTTTTAATTAAGCTGACTGAAAGATACTGACCTGGGGCCCAACAGGGAACGCTGGGTGGGACTGACTGGTCTGGTGCTGGTCAGCTGTGCTTGTATCAGACAGCACTGTATTTCCTCTGGCCCCTGGAATTCAAAGAGAAGCTCTACCTTAATGTCTAGCCTGGGGACCAGCACATTACATTTTACTGTGATGTCACATAACATCAAGCTGAAAATGATATGCTAAAGTGTTTTATCAATAACTCAAGTGCTCAAATCACTTATCAGCTGCATAAATTATGCTAACGTTCATTCAGGCCAGCCAACTCATTCAGAGAGATATAGAAATCTGACAGCGGTGAAACTGAAGCTATCATCAACACAGCTAATGTGGGTTGTATTATACAGTAATTTACATACAGTACATGAGCACTGTGTGTGTGGGAACTACATTTTTTATGCTTAGGTGAGCACCAGTAATTCTAATTTCTCAAACCAAATCGGAGACACAATCAAGTCGCATCAACTTAATATCTTAATCATGCCTTTTCTTTTGTTACTTATGGAGGCAGAAAATCCTGTATCACTCACTAAAAAGCACTAGAAAAAGTGAAAAAAAAATGCTTGTTTGTGAATGACATTTCTTCCTTCCTTTCTGTAAATGTACATGGAAAATGAAAAAGCAGAACTCTGTTTCACCAGGACATATTAGCACTAATTAAGAGAATCAGAATCCAACAAAAACTTGAAAATAAGCATGCTGAACATAAACCATCCTCTGGTACGGCTATTTAGATTCTGCTGAAGACCTCAAAGTAGACATTAAAAAGAGAATGAAAAGAAAATCCATAACAGCGGTAACTAATGACCAACAAGAGGCTTTCAAAGCTAAGGCCAAATCCTGCAGACCTGTCTTAGGCAGAACTCCCATTGAGTCAGAAACTCTTTCAGCAAGGGCTGCAGGATCAGATTGACTTTATTCCTGAATCTAAAGGACTGATGGTGCTTAAAGTCTTAAATAAAGAAAAACCTAGCTACAATTTTAGGATTTTAGTTAGTACGGTAGCTTTTGTTCTGTTAGTTTTTCTTCTGCTGGGTTGTTGAAATCCAATTCTAAGTAAACCTAACAAGATCCCCTTTTCCAATGTTTATCCTATGAATAGCAAGTGCAAGACAATTCAGAACCAGTATATTGGTATGCCATGGTCTGCAAAGGAAGAAAGGATATGATTCTGTCATACTTATAAATTTTAAAGAAGGTATTATCGGCTCATTTAAAACAAATTCTTCTATATATTCTCCAAGGGGACAGACTTATAAATAATGGAAATGTGAAAAAAAACTTCCTCACCACATTAGGGTACAAATAAAATTGACTGCTACATATTATTCAATTGACTTCTATCTCTACAGCAATGTGTCAATCATAACAGCATTTTATAATGGGATTAAGCAATAAATGTGCAGAGCTATTATGCAGAAATCTGAAAATCTGATTAATTTGTAATATTTTGTGTGTGCAGAAAGTCAGAAATGGACATTGCTTTGGGAATACTTACAAGTATTCTATTGAAATTTCTAAATTGATTTGAAACTAATAAAAACATACAGACTTGCTGACATTTTATAAAGTGAATTCTGTCAAAATGTTTGGCATTTTAATGACCATTGTCATTTAATAACAAGAGTAAGATGACCTATTATAATTGGTCAAGGCTCCGACAGTGCCTAATAATGTGCAAGAAGAGACCTTGTCACTAAATTTTTTATGTGCGATTTACTTATCTGCAATGCTTGAAAAGCAAGAAATTTAGCTGGATGAGCATGATGCAGTGAAAAGGTATACAGTCTATTTCTTTTATAATCAAAATGAGCCCAATCCTGCTGTCTTGACACAGAAAAAGAAAAATTACTTCATGTTGACTCCTGATTATAGAGGATCTGCACAATCTGCTCCACCAAAATTAAACACCAGTTTGCCTTAATGTATCTCTGCATATTAACACACTTTTTAATTTAACTTGATATGACAGCTGTGTATGAGAAGTAATGTTCCATCACTGAAAAGACTGAGATCTGCTGAATCTGAGTTACCTCATAAAGTTCAAATTAAAACTTAGTTTTACTAGAATATTACTAAAACAAGTTCCTAATGCCATATCATATGACTAAATTAACCTGGGAAGTTTTTAGAAAAAATACAAAGTGAGCGTGTCTACATGTGTATTTACGCCAGTTTAAATTTATTGTGCAGTAAGTGGGAATAGGCTGATGTCTACACATGCGGATGATCTGGGACTAAATTTAGTCCCAGGTCACACCAGCCTGCTGTGTGCTCCTGTGGCCACTGGGTGGAGCTCCAGCCTCTGGCCATATCGCTTCCAGCACTCAGGACTAAGTTTAGTTCCAAGTTGAAGCCAGGAGAGGTGGCAAGCCAGGGGCCCTGGGGCTGGGCTCAGGCTGGCCCCCTAGTGGCTGGGCAAACTAACTGGGCATAAATCTGATACCTGCATGATGCAGATATCAAATTTACGCTGAACTCGGCATACTGACTGTGCAGTATGGGCATGCACGTGTAGATGTGCGCCAGTACTGCACAGTAATTTTGTTTACTGCACAGTAAATGCTTATGTGCAGACACACCCACTAGCAACCAATGATTTACTTGCATTTGATCCTATATTAACTAATTTAGTGCCTGATCTTGGTGCACTTGCTAAAATGAACAATTCCAATGAGGTGGGCTCATGCTTTTCACGTTTCCCAAACAGCCACTATTTTCTGTTATTTAAAGCATAAAGGTCTTACAATACACAATCTTATGAGATGCAGCTTATACAAAAGATTTTACTTATAATAAAACTATACTGGAGCATTAAATAATAAGGAATTATATACTTCATTGATTGCAGTAGGTTCAATCACAGGATTTCATTCTTGTCATGTGGTTGTTTATTCAAGACAATGTACCTGCTTTTATTACTGCACATGAAACCTTTCCCTACTTCTTCCAGCTCACTTTCAAGACACTTTAGGTACTTTGGTGAAATGGCGCACAACTGTATGTGTATAAATGAAGTCATATGCAATTTCTGCATCAGATTATACATGTTGTCTTTTTAGAATCAAATAGGCAGGTTTCCCCTTATGCCCATATCTATTTTTCTTATACACATGTAGTGTACTTAATATTATAGACTCATCTCTTAATCTAGACTAGCTGCTGTAGCAGCCAGTGCAGAGTTAAGTTTTCTTTCCAAGTCTGGAGAGAAGTCTGAAGATTGCTGGCTGAGCAATGAACAAATGTGGTAAAATAATAATTTCAGAGCGACTGGAAGGTCTATTGCATCACACAAATAAACTGAACTTGTTCTCTGCCATCTGTTATCTCCTCTGAGAAGTACTTGCCAAAGCTTCCAGGAAGGAAAAATACAGCCACAAAATATATATGGAAAGATGTGATTCATTCCCTCCCTACAGTTAATGGGAAGACTCTCCAATGCTAGAACAATCCAGTTAACAAAACAGAGTTGAGTGTACTACAAGTTATGCATGCTGTGTCTGATTTAGAGGATCATAGCTGACAGACTGGCAAGGGCCTCTTAGGCTATGATGCAGCCCATTCCCCAACTCTAGCACTGGATTGCTTCCTCCATTAATTTCTTCTCTGTTTTATTTAATTTACTCTTAAACCTTCTAGTTATAGTTGCCTCAACAACCTCTTCATGCAAATAATTCCATTGACTAATTGACTGCATTATTAAAAATGTTTTGCTAAATTCTTACCTAAAATTGCCCTTGTCTGGATTCAGGCAACTACCCCTTGTTATATCATTTGCAACAATTGTACAGCCCTTTTCATGCAATATCAACGTGGTGTACAAACACTAATTTATTGAGTCTTACAACACGGCTGTACTATCATAGGGCAGTAAAACTTTAGAAAGGGACAGCAACATAAATGGTTAGTACCACCAGGATAATTCTGGGTGGCATTGAATATACTGAGTGCACAGCTCTGGAGGCATTTCTGCTGCTACCACTTCACCTGATATGCAAGCAGACACTACAGAAGAACACCCTGCTTGACTCCCAATCATTTCTGTGGTGTTTGGATCAAATAGTGGGATGGGTGCTCTAAGTTCAGGTATGAGGTGGGATAATGACGATGAAAACGTTGTTTGTAGCCCAGATTCAATTGTTTATCTCAGGGGATATGCCCCACCATCTTCTGTCCCTCCTCCTATAACTGAATGGTTCACAATTTTAAATGCATATATCCTTACAGGGACTAAGTTGAGCAGTACTACTACATTTTACTGATGGGGAAAAAAATGAACGCACAGGCTACATGAGTCCACATGAGCAGTCCACGCAAGCAGTCCATACAAGCAGGGATGCAGTTTTTCAGCAGCACAAATCTGTGCCGCTCCTTTGTGCTGCAGTGCACGCCTCTGCTCATGCGGTCTGCAGTGGGACACACTGTCCCGCTGCTCCATGTGCTGGAGGGTGGGAGCTGGCTGAGACACAGGGTGCCTCAACATGGAGCTAGCCAGCAGACAGCCCCTACACTGAGGCACCCTGTGCCCCAGCCAGCCAGGGAGTGGCACATGGAGACAGGGGAGCAGGCATCCCAGGGCTGAATGCTCCCCTGTCTCTGCATGCCTCAGGGTGAGGGCGCCACTGTGCAGTCCCTTTCCTGAGACACGTGGAGCCCCTGTCTCGAGTCACACAGTGCCTTGGCCAGCCACAGAAATGGGGGAGCAGGCAGCTCTGTGCATGGGTGACTGGTGCCACCTTAGTCAGGAGGGGCATGTACCCCCCAGCAACCAGTCAGTGACCAGGGGGGAGATCCCCCCTATGGCCAATCTCACCAACAGTGGGGGTGTCCCCCGCAGCCGGTCGCATGGCAGCCAATTTCTGGAAGTGGCTGTGGCCAGGAATGCCTGCTCCCTTATCTCCAAGTGCCTCAGTGTTGAGGCTCTGGGCTGCCTACTCCCCCCTTCTCTGTGTTTGTCCCAGAACATGGCACTTTGGCATGTTTTGCACTGCTTTCGCCCCCGCCCCCCAAGGGTTTTTGTTTTGTTTTGTTTTTTTGCTACCTGGAATTCCTGATAGCAAATTTTGCCCCAGTGCTGCAAATT